AGTTCTAAGAATAATTAGAATTTCGGCAAAATGCAATTGAAATTCTTTCTTAATTTTACGATTACTGGTGCACCATTTGATTACCGTTTACTATCATGGGTGACAAATTACACTTGCAACCATGGGGTTTTTGACTAGTTTATTGTATCAAGAAATTTCATGCCAAACATTACCGTGGCAATTTTACAACTTCACAAGTGAAACTATGAATTAATGCTGACATTTTGCACCAAAGTTAAGGAGTAATTCATCCCCCATGATATTGTTAAGGAGAATAAAATACTTGAACAAAATTAAGACTGGTGTTCCAAGATCCACTGGCCAAGTCTCAATAGTTGAGATTACCATTGATAATTACTGTATAATTAGCATTTTTCACTTGAGTGCTGAAAGTGATTCACAGTTGCTTTGGTTTATTTATGTTACTACTGCACTTGATTGGTTGAATTTAATCTCTTTCCCTCTTTTTTTCCCTGGCTTGCCCGCAAAGTTTTTCCCATGATTTGTGATGGCTATATATGTAACTGTTTTGAGCTTTGACTAGTTCACTTGATTGTCTGGGCATATTACCTGTGATTGGCCAGTGATTACTTTGGTTTTGGTGTTTCAACACTCAATTGAAAATCACTCCATTTTTTATAGAATCATAAGTATTATTTAGAAAAATACATAATTTAACAGGCTACATACAAGCAGCTAGATCCCCTGCAAATATTACTACCTATGATGCTATTTCATGGTTATTTTCATCACCAGTGCCACAGGCTACTGTATTTTATAATAATTTGCCTTCATGACGTATGCAAAGTGATGAGAAATTAACCACTTTAACTCTTTTTACTCTTTTTAAAAAATCTTATATACACCACAGCAGCGAGGATGGCTAATTCAACCAAAATGATACACAACAGGATCAGCTTGTTTGTAGCAATTCTGCAATAAAACCAGAAAACAAAATCAACAGCTAAAATACAGCTGCAATATTATGTAATTTTATTAATAATACTTCTACACATGTACATGAATTGTCTTTTAATGGTAGCCTTTGTACATGTAGCTGTTGGGATTGTTCTCCCGGTTGCAAAATTTGGTAGCAAAGGAGCAGCTTGGTTGTAAGTAAGTAAGTAAGTAAGTAAGTAAACTTTATTTGATAAGTAGGTTGTAGAGGGGATTTGGCAGCCGAAGGGCTGATGTGGACCTACTATACACAAAATATAAAATTTTACAAACACGAAAGATATTAACAAAAGAATCCCCAAAAAAGGTTTTGAACCATAAAAGGATCTGTGTGAGAATGGATAGGAAACCAGTGGTCTCTTGCGGCTAGCACCACTTGGTGTGACTTAGCGTGCATGGCAGGCATTCGAAGGGCAGGGTCATGCCGTGCACACAAAGCTAAAACTTCTAGATATATCAATGACTGAGGTGGCTTCTGCTATAAGTCTGGTGGATTTTGGAGGTGTCCTCACCCTATCAAAAAATTGTTTACATTGTCCGTTTCTTTTTTATTATGTGGCAAGTGATTAATGACAGTGATGAGGGAGTGGGGAATACAAGGAGTGTGAAGCACAATATGAAAGAGGAGGGAGGGGAACCCCTCCCTTCCCCTCCCATTGTGATTCTCATGTTCTTGCTTTTTGTTTCCCCTCTTCCTTCCTTTTGTGTGCTTGCTACACAGGCCAGTCGAAGCTTTGCCACTTAAGCACTTGTGTAAACAACAGTACCACTAAATATGCAGGCTACCATCTAAAGGGCATTCAAGTAACTAGATGAAAAGCAGTATGATTACGAAAAAGGTTTACACTTAACCTGATTGCCATGCTATTTAGAATTCTCTTGCTTTTGCCCAGGTCTTGATCAACATCCTTGAGCTGTTGCACAAAATTAAAATCAATATCAATAATTCAGTTTGGCTGCCCGAGAAATTGACCAGAGAAATGTCATGCTGATGATGAGACAGTACAGAGATCAGTCTACTGCCTCTCGTTACCTGTTGATCAATTAAGTTTAGGAAGTTTTGGCAAGGAACAGTATTAACCAGGTCAGATGGGTTTTTAATAAGGGTGGGACACTTGACAAATTGACCGGTTGTGCGGATGATTTTGCCCACCTGGTTTGACCATCTAGAGGAGAGATTTTTCCTATAACGAAGTTCAGTTCAAAACCTTTTGCCCGCCTGTGTAAACCAGTTACCCTCCTGCTGTAAACGTGAATGAAACTCCTACAAGTCAAAGCACTAAGAAGAACTCTTTTGGCCCCTCTGTTTTGACTCAAAATTCTATGCTGACGATAAAGCTCTACAGATCTGAGGAGTATCTCTGATCAGTAACTGTCGAGAAAGAAAAACCAGCCCAAGACATCGGACAGAGCTCTCTGAAGTGACTTATCCGTCTTCAGTATTGTATACAGATGTTTTAGGTCATATCTTGGACATCTTTCGAGTATGGGAAGGACTGAGTGCACAAAGACAGAGACTTGTTTACAGATGCTATAAACAAATGTAATCAGTGCAGCATGATAAAAGAAGCCACAAAATTCTGGAATCCATGTCCTTACCCTGTCTCTAGTCCTAACAAGGGCCTCGCGTTGATCACCTAGTTCCTCAATTATTTCATCACCAATTTGTTCTAAACACAGAAACAGAATATTGTGATTTTATCTTAGATATGAACATCAAACCTTCGAGACACTGATGTAGCACTGTCTACAAGACTACCTAGAAAGGGTGACATAAGTAATTGAGACAGTTGGCTGAATTGAGTGCTAATTGCAATATTTCAATTATTCCATTCCAAATGTGGTTGACATTGAGAACAGCACTCCCCACCCCTCCGCTGCCCCCCCCCCCCCGGTTTTCAATGCTGTACAGGAAAGAGGCAAGTCTTAGGGATAATAAATCCAACATTGTCTTGCAGGGAGGGGTGGTATCAACAGGTGGAGGGGAGAATTCATCTAAAGTACTCTAAAATAGCACCTTTGTCGCCCAACACATTTGTCACCCACTGCAATGGTCATGTTCACTATATACTACCAAACGAATGCAATATTTTCTCCTACTACAAATCCATTGACCATGACAGAGCCAAAACATTGCTCCCAAGACTAGCAGCAAATTACATGTAGTTGACACATTACTGACAGACACACTGCTCAAGATACTACCGAACCACTGGCCAACACTCCATGAAAACATTAGCTGATTAAGTACAATGTACCAATAATGCATGGCCAACATAGTTTATTTAATACCAGTAAGTTGAATTATTTTCCCATTTTGATTGGTCCTTATGCAAGATCTATTGCAGGACAGACTGTCATTAACATTTTTTAATTGCATCTTTTATTATATAAAGCATATACATTAGATTCCATGTTGCCATGTATCTCTCCAGTAATTGATCACAGAAGACATCAAAATGTGGTAAGAACATCAGCGACACACTTTCCTGACAACTTCTGTACCACTTTTTTATTCTCACCACATTTCAAGTATTTGCGATCTACTACTGAACAGACATATTATTTGCTAAGGAGACATGCCTATATTGATAAAATGCAAGTCAGCTGATTTACCAGTCTAACTTGATAATACTAACTTACCAGTTTCCACAGCAACCCTGGTTGATCTTGCAATACTTTCTGTGGCTCTGTTCAAGGTCTCTGTTCCTTGTCGAACCTTGTTTTTCTGTGCAGCCTAATCAATGTTAGCAAACAGTCATACAATCAGCCCTGGCAAAATGCATCATGTATAGTAATAATGTTTAATTCCGATCTGCTGCTAAAGTAGTTCTGTTATCATGACTAATACATTTGTAACAAATCCATTTCTGGCTTTTGCTTCCTACTCTGTACCCCTCTCTCCCCTCCCCCCCCCCCCCCAACTGATCCTATATACAAAGGACAAGGGGTGCTCATCATACCTTTCAGGGAGTTAAAACGTGGTTTCTGTACCTCTTAGGTTGTTCAGCATAAGAAAATAAATGAAGTTGGCATACCATTGGGTCTGCATCAAAGAGTTCTTCTCGCCCAAATGACACATTAACTTGTCCACTTGGTTTTCCCTGTCGGCAATACAATGGAACTTATAAGTAAATTACTGATACTGTCACATGTAAGATTTACATGTATATTAGCACATTAAGTCTGTTCAAATCTTGCCACTCAGTGCTAGGGCTTATGTTTGGTTTCTTTTGCATGAAGTGACTAGAAGTAATGCTAATTCTCCTCCTCTGCCCCCTCCCCGCCTCTGCATGGGATGCCAGTCTATCACAGCTCCCCCTCCAGCAATCTGCCAGATTGCCTTATCAATTGACCAACAACAACTGAGACAAAGAAACCTTGAACTGTGAAAGTAAAATATCCTGCCCCAGACAAACAGTGATCCCAACCGGCTAAACCTCCCACTTCATTTTGATGACAATAAAATTAGCGCAAATAATCTTCATATGAATCTTTCCAAAGGTGCTAAAATCTGTTAGTGTGCTACAGAACATACGTGCATGCATGCATGTAGAATTTTTATTATGAATAAAAATTTCTATAGAATGTGTGACTCACAAGTGATCTGCCTTAATTTGCAAATACAGTTGAACCTCCACTAACAGCCACCTCTCTACCTCTCTCTGACCTCTCTGTTCGCAAGGTGGCAGTAGTGGAGAGGTTTGACTGTAATCTTAATCATGTGCTTTGCTCACTGGAAATGGTTTGTAAGTGGCAGTTTTTAATAAACGAGAAAGGTGCAGATTGGCTTTCCCTTCTGGTCCCTTTTAAAATTGCTATTTCCTTCTTTCTAATGTCAGAAAGTGATTCCAGATCCTGTGGAAATTCACTGTGTGAAAACCTCTGATCTTACCAAATCCTTTCTCAGTTTATCAAAATCTCTTCTGTAACTGCGTATTTTTGACATCATGGAGTTTCTATAGGTCCCTGGAGCTGAACTGGCTTCTTCTTCCATCTCCTCCATCTAAGAGAAAAACATGATTAAAAACACATTTTCAAGTCTCATTTTTGTGTGTTTCTTTCTGATTTTAGAGTCTACAGTCGCAGATTTTCAAACATTGGTCGTGCATCTCCACAAATCTTTTATGTTACCATTTGTTACCCGTGAAGACTCTAAGGATCCCCCCACACCCACCCCTCCCCTCGGCCAGTGACATTGTGTAAATTATCACTGGGACATTGTGTAAATAATCACATCATGCACTCACGTGACAAGTCTTTGAAACAGACATTTCTGTTAATACATAAATCAGGCAAGAAGAAACACACATTTATAACGACGTTATACAAGTAGATGAGCATAAGCAAATGATGTAACAATAAATGAAACTTTCAAGCTTAAGTAGAAGAAAGAAATATTGGTTTGATTGGCTCTAACTGATACAAGACATTTGCCACATTTACGTGAGTTTAACTTTACATTCTATACTCACTATTAAATTGGCATCTTCGATCTTCTTCTCAACTTCTCGAATAGTGCTTTTTCTCAATTCTGAAATAGAAAATTTGTTGTATGGCTCAGACTTAAAATGTTCAAATCACGCAATTGAAGCTTCAATTTGGCACCTACCTCCCGATAACTTTGGAATTTTGTTAGTTATTTTCCCTGCTACATCTTCGTGCAGAACCTTTAGTTCGTCCTCGAGGTCTTCAAACTTTTCAGAAGACATTGTGAAGGCCTAACGAATGACAAAAACTATATTTTTTTGACCCAAAACCCAACCCGACCGGTGGATGCCTCTGTAAGGAAAACGAAACAAATCCCGCCCGCAGTATCAGAAAGTCAGCGTAAGTGCCCGAGAAAAGATGCGCACACTTATCCTGAGACATGCATCCCACCAACCTGCAATCGATTGATCGATGAATTTATTGTTTTGATGTAATATTTCCGAGTTTGCTTCCTCTCCTTTGTGTATCAGCCCACAAACTGCCGAACTAGGTCATCAGCGCTTGAAAGTCGTTGTTCCGCGTCAAGATTGTCGCAGCCAAAGGCTGACAGGCCAATTATGTAGCTTGCAAATCCGGTCTTAAAAGAGGAAGCGGTTCTACCTACGCGCGTTCGTATGAATCGCTGTCACACTTTTCATTGGATCTCAAGAATGGTGGCTATTACCGATTCTGTTAGTTGTGGTTTGGAATGATATGTGATTACTGCAGTATATCATGCCCATATCTGAGTATGAAAACAATTTAACCGCCGCAAAATGGAAGGGATTGTTTGTACCCGCGCTCAGAAAGGTAAGAAGACGTAGGTAGAGATCGACCTGCATTCCTGTTTCGGGGAAAAATGGTCAAATTCCGATCGATTGCTTTCCGTAACCTGCGTGTAGATTAGGTCTTGAAAGTGTCGACAGAGAGGAGTGTATTCACCTTTAATACGAAGGTTTTAGCAGAGAATATGCGGCTGTATGTAGTCGCTAATTGCATTTGCGAATTTAGCTAACCGGGGAGGCGTGATCAGAAGTGTTACAACTAACTTACTGGGCTTTCAAATTCGCTTGTAGGTCCAATCGCAGGTTCACCCGTCGCTGAAAGTTCACGACGAAGCGCTGGAGTACATCGAATCTTTGATAGTCCAGCTCCTGAATCACCTGTGTGCTTGCCAGCCTCGTTCAGTGGCGGATGTTGAAGAACGGGTTAGAAGCACATTCCCTCATCCGATCGATAAATGGGCAATCGGTGATGCGCAGGCCGCCGTTGAAAAGGGAAAGAAAAAAAGCCCAGTAGTGTTACCGGCGGATAAAGTTCACCCCATCATCATGAAGGTGATGTTGAACTTTCATTCAGAGTGCGATTTGTTTTGCTTGCTAATGCATGCACCGAGCTGTCATGTTGGTACAGGTCCTCTTATTTATTAGCTGTTATACAGATCAACAAACTTAGCGCCATGCGCTCTGAAGTGTTTCCTATTTTCCTTTCACTTTTTGTTGTGTACATGCTTCAAGTAGTTTATTGCCTCTTTCAAAAATTTTTTTTGTACATGCTGGTGTGAAACAATTGCTTTCACGATGTCTGACTGATTTTATAGCAAACAAGTCGTTCGATCTTGATCAACTCAGGTGTCGCCGTCTTTGTTAAATTTTCGTCCTTCTTTTTTCGCTAATAGTGTTGTACTTCCTCTTCCTTGATCTGCTTTTATAACTTTGTTTGAAAACTTTTAGAATCTCTCTGAGATGAGTAATACTCGCAAATACTTACAGTGCAAATCGCATCTTCTAATTACGTTGTTTACTAGTTGACTTCAAAAAAATTGTTCTACTTTTATTTTCTTGCTTGAATAAGTTCGGTTCTGTAATTACTGAAGTGAAACAATTTTTCGATTCTTCAAAAGCTTTGTAATTCTCAGTAAATGTTGAGAATAATAAATTCTGCTCATCAGCAAATTTTGAAATTTCTGGTAAATAACTTAGACAAATGTTTCACTCAATACTTTCGCTGTTAACTGTCAGATCAACTTTCGGGCTCTAAAATGTGTGTGTTTATGCGTTTTTCTGGGTTGCAGGATATTCTGGGATTCAAGGTGGAATTCCAAGTGAGCCTATACATTGTAGCTGTTATGGAATACATATCTGCTGATATCTTGAAGGTAAGAACCGGCTGAAAACTGATCAATACTAATCCACGATTAAAGGTCAGCCAAAGTTATTCATCCTGTTGTTTACTGCACCTTTCAATAACACACAAACTCAGAAGGTGAAAACTTAACTAATGATAACATTTTTGCCTGACTCCACTCATAATTACGACAACAATCAAAAAACCTTGTAAAAAAGAAACAAAAAAAACTTTATCAAAATCTACCAATCACAACCCAAAGACATGACCTTTTGACCCAATATGGGCTAGACTGTCATTAGCGACCACCTAGGCTTGACATTTTGGGTGCTCGCGTATGGAGCTTCAACTGTATGTGGTTCCAGAAAATATCCATACCCATAGTCATGGACTTTTTTTGGTTTGAACCTTCTCCCCCAATCTCTTTGGAAATTTCTTGTTTTTGTTCATACTTTCATTGAAAAATTTTGCCTATTGAGATCCACCCTCTCCCTTGAAATTTCCAATGGCCCTCCTTGGGGTGGGTATGGGTATTTTCTGGAACCACACATTTGACATGGCAGACAACCATTACTGTATAGCTAACAGTAGGTAGAGGTTCTATTTGTACGACAGCTAATGGTACCCAGATTATCACTCATCCTGGGTTATATGAGACATTCCTGGTCTTGCAAGTACAATTCAAAATATTTTGCAGGGATTTAGTGCTGGATGTCATTGTGTTCAGTTCAATCACATAATCTCAAAAACTCTCCCCACCCTATCTTCTGTCTATGGTGTATCCAGTGTGCATTGTGGTGTGCTTTTACAATGAGTTTCGGCCACATTTTGGTTTCTGGTTTTATCATGCTTTGTATCAATCAGTTAACCTTCTCTGATTGTGAAATGGAGGACATTATCACAGTTAAGTCACAAAAACCCTATATACAAAATTGACATGGTGTGTGATCTTTCCTGCTGTTTTGCTATTCTCTAGCTGGCCGGCAACTACGTGAAGAACATCAGACATGTTGAAATCACATGCCAGGACATCAAGGTGGCACTGTTTGCTGACAAGGTGAGATGTTCTCTTCTCTTTACTGTACTGATGGTTTTCAAAATAAAACAATCATAGTTTGCCTTGTGTGATCGTCCGAGTGGGAGTAGTTCTGAAAAGAACCATTGTTGGTGACTGACGTTTTGACAACCTGAATGGAAGTCATCTTCAGAGTCAAGTGAATAGTGTTTATCAGTTGGTGATGTTATGTCTGGTACGTTGAAAGTGATTGCTCAGCTAAGCCATGATGGTATTGGATGAAAGACTTGAGCAAGTGTAAAGTTTGTCAGCACTCAGTGAAGCCTAAATGGATGCTGACCGAGTCTATTGTGTCCAGTGTTGAGGCAGTTCTGTCTCGTCAACGAGAATCAGAACCTGCCAAGGATAACAACAGAAGCAGAATTGCTTCCACGGTACAATCAGCCTATACATACCTGGCAGTAACTTGATAAAAGACGAACAACAAGCACTGAAATGAATGAAAAACGACCAAAACATTGTTATACTACCAGCCGACGAAGCACGTGTTTAAAACCGTCCTAGACGAACCCGTTGGGACATTGTTCGTTAGTCATTGGTGGGCTTTTGAGCTTCATTTGACAAGACAATGGTCCCTGCCAGGGCACGCCCTGATTGTTTGATCTGATGTCCAGCATTCTAACAACAGATCTCCCACAGCGAAGTCCAATATTAAGTTAACAGATTTTAAGTTCAGTTAGTGTCCTTGTGCCTTATCTGCAAACCTCTTCAAAACATTGGGCAGTTGTTACTAAAAGTTTTAATTGCCTGCTGGTGACCAGCCTTGAAATTCCAGTTGCCAATGCTCAATTTTCAGTTGCATTGAACTGGTCACCATTTTGGGCCATGAATTGTATAGTTACTTCTTAGTACACCCCAGACTGATGACAAAGAAATTACAATACCGTTGCAAGTAGGAATTTGAAGAGCGTACTAGGTTTACATAATGGTAGCTTTTTTTGTAGAAAAATGCACTGATATTTGGTTGTCCTGCTTCACATTTCGTAGGTTTTGATGGACATGTTCCACCCAGATGATGTTGAGACATCGGTTGAAGCAGAGGTCAGTTATAGTGATAATACAAAAATATATTGGAGTTTAAAAGGTAGGTTAGGTCAGCAGGAATTCAAACTAGTTTGATATATATGTAGTTTGGGACCAGTAACCTCTTAGAACAATAAATGTGAGGAAATTTACAAAGATTTCTTGCATGGCCTAGTGGAAATGAAGGCTGAAGTTACGAAGTCAGAGATCAGGTGTTCATATCTGGGTGAGTACAAAACAAAAAAGTTCTTGGGGGGGGGGGGGCTCTGACAGGGTAGGGTAAGGTTACGGACTGAATGGGGTGGCTGGTGTGTACATTATTATTTTAAGAACCCCCTCCCAAAGTGGGGAAAAAATAACTGACAAATTTAACGTAGGTTGATACAAATTAACCTAGGTTGAAATTGTTCTTACCTAAAATGCATTTTAAGGTGGCTCGATCGGATTTTATCAATGGATTGATGATCATCATGGTGGTGTTGTGGTTACTCAAAAAATCTGATCAAGCCACCGTACACTACATGTACAACATATACTTGGAAAAGAAGATTGTATTTAATTGCTAGTAAGTCATTCAATGTACAAATGAGGGAGCAAACAAGAATTCTTATCGTGCGGCATGGATTACTATCATGGGTAAATTAATATATTACTCACATTTCTTGTGATAGACGCTGAGCAGTCAAGGTGCTTTGACCTATGACGAAGTTGTGCGGGAAATGATGCTTGCTGAGGGCCAGTACATCAGAGATTTAAATATGATTATCAAGGTATTACACTTGACTTTCTCTCAATACACAATTGTTGCAAATTACTATGAAACACATTTGTCGGCAGTGGTTAATGGCTGGTGTGTGGCAGATAAGTCTGAATCCCAGCCACTGTTAGTGTCTCATGGTCTTTGGGAAGACATGTCTAATCACTCTCACAGTAGACCAAAGGAATTCTCTCAACAAGATCTGGCACCTGCCAGTACTCCAACAAGTATTCTGACGTGAATAGTCACCACCTATAACATTAGCAATTTTCAAAAATTGGCCTTCTGGAAAAGGGCTTGTCTGAACTGGGATAGCCTCCTACTTCACATCAAGCCTGCAAGCAAACATTGCAAAAGAGCACCCTAAATATTAATATAGCTGGTTCCTGTGATCAGCCTCTACTGAGAATATCCTGGACTATTCCCTATTGTAGGTTTTCAGAGCACCTTTTGTGGAGGCAAAGGACCTTTTCACCCATGAGGTATGTAACACAGGATTAATATTCAGAATGCATTCAATCAATCCCTTTTCCTGTATGTTTGTCAAAGCTCGATCAGACTGGAGACAGACTGGAGCACTCTACTAATAAGAAGAAAGTTTAACACTTAGTACCTATTACATGTTATATTATAGCATATAAGTATATTAGTTGTAGTATATTATGGTATATATTAGAGAATGAATCATTGATTTATGCATGTACATCTATTGATGTTAAGCTTGTGCGGGCAGGGGGGCATGCATAGAAGGTGTGGGGTGCTAGCCTTAAGGGTGGAGAATTAACATTTTGGGTGATAACACTATTGACTCTCACCAAACCACCAACAACAAGGGCGAAAGATGTGACAATGGCACAAGAAAGTAAAATGGCAGACAGTCAGTTAGCAGAAAATAGCTGTCAAGCAACACACTTGATACATATCTCATTCTCCTTAGAAAAGGCCTTACCCAGGTGAAGAGGAGGTGGGACTCCCAGGGGGGTGCTCATCAGAAATTTTGAAAAAAAACCCTAAGAGGTACCAAGATCCTGTTTGTGGGCGTTGCTTGAAATTTTTTTAATCCCTAAGGGATACCAATTCTAAAACAAAACATTATCTTGTATTTTTTCGGCTCAATACCCTAAAAGGTGCCGCAAAAGCTCCCGCTGTGGACCTTTTGAGCCTGAACACCCTGAGAGGCAACAAAACCACCTTTTCAACCCCTAAAAGGTACGGCGAGTACCCGTTGTCCTTTTTATATGGGAGTGCCCACTCCCTCAGGGGTGAAGTCTTGTCACCTATGTTTCCTTGCCACTAGACTTTCTCATTCATTGAAGGTGCACAAACCGGCATCCCTACCCCGAAACAGGAATAAGTATCATGCCAAAATTCTCATCCTCAAAGAAGCAATGATGATCAAAATCATACCCCTTTCATCGCCTCTGATCTCCTTTTCTTGAACATTGATAGGCAAGGAAAGGCAATATTTATGATATTTCACTGCCAGTATCTAACCTCGAAGTGAACCTTTGTTACAGGATATTGGAAGGGTTTTCAGCAATATCATTGATATCTATGAGTTCTCTGTGACGTTTCTGGGTTTGTTGGAGGCAGCTATTGAAGTAGCAGATGAAGGCAAACAGCCAGCGATTGGAGAATGCTTTGAAGAGATGGCTGAGGTACAGTGCATTCTGGACATACACTGTTAAATGGGAATTGTTATTTATTTTAATATGCCAAAGTAAGGAACATTTTGTACACATCACCAGAGAGAAACTTGCCATTTCTCTGTCTCAACTGACATATCCACTCGTTGTTGCTATCTATTGCTTACCAAAAACATGACGATGATGATGAAACATTTTTTAGGATATGTCCAGACAAGTGTGCTGTCTCTGCTAAGCACCCTTCTTTAGCTCACAAAATTAAATGCTGTGAAATGTCTCTCAATTCATAATTGACTCTAACAGTCAATTTCAGAGAGGTGTCTGCTTCAAAGAGAGTCCAGTCATAAAAAAACCAATTAAATTCAGTTGGGACTGCAAGACAATCATGCCTGGCGTACAGTTGCTTTCAAGGTCAAAATTCATTTTCTTTAGACCCCGCATGTTGGCAAAAAGTTGTGGAAAGATTAGCTGTTAAATATTACAGAAAGCCTTATTATGTATTTGGATACAATTCTTTAGGGTGCTGAGTTTGAAGTTTACGAGACATACGCCAGGGAGCAGACTGCTTCAGTTAGCAAACAGTACAGGCATCTTGGTATCGGAGGGAAATTGTCAGAGTTATTATTAAGAACTCCTGTCAATGAATACTTCAAGGTATGGTTTGCCTAACAATGACATGTTTTGCTTATGTGGTTTCATCAAACTCTGTTACACAGGTAAATGCATTAAAGGAAAGTTTTCTTTAAAAAAAATGCCGTTATGTACTTGCAGACTAAGTAACAATGAATTCCAGGATTCACTGTTTTAAATTGCCTCGCATCAAACTGTTGGCAGTATAGTGTCAACTGACAATTTGTGGAAAACAAAAGAATAGTATTTAAGAATTGATCAAAAAATTGGATACAAATATTATTTATTTTGGATTTTGAATTTCCAAGGCAAAGCCATTTTGGATTTTTTCATGCCACACATTTGCCTCTTTTGCTACATATAGCAATCGGCAAACAGGAAATCTCACAGAAATTTCAAAATAGCCTCCTTTCTACATGTACTTCTTATGGAGTGATCAGTTTTCTATTATAGTTCAGCGTTTAAGCCAAGCCCCACAGCTTTCATTACTAAGTGATTTTGATTTTTTTCAGGCCAAAGGCCCAGGTTTCAAAGAAGCTGTTCAGTATTGTCTACCCAAGCTGCTAATGATGCCTATCTATCATTGCTTACACTACTTTGATCTTATTAAGGTGACCATTATACATTAAGTAGATCTGTTGATGTTGGGATTATGGATTGTTAGGGGAGTAACCTTTGGATTCAGTATTGGCCTGAGATTTGAGAGACATCTCCCATCCCACCACACCTATTTCTATTTCCATCAGAGAAGTTGGAGTTCTCAGATTCAAGCTGAAAGGCTGCAAATTTACGAGGTTTTATTTCAGAGTTCCTTGTGGTTTCTCTTAGTTATTGCTGACATCAGGTGGAAAATTATAACCAAATTGAAAATCCTATTAACCAAACCTAGGTTTTATGTGAATCTCTGAGTGCTACGTACACCATTATGTTGAATGTTTTAAGCGGGAAGCTGAAAGACTCTCTCACAGGGGATGAAAAGAGTGCTGGACAAAAGATGCCAGAGTTTAAGCCATGGATCCTTAAATTCAGGTTTAATCTGTTGTAGTTGCAAAGGTGTTGTGGTAACAATCTACCTTACTCTGTAGTTCCTGGTCATCTCTTCACCCAGACAACCCAGTTGGAGTGTAAGGGTTTGAACTAGCATGCATCCTCATTAATTTTAGCCACCATCCTAACAAGTCACTAGTCATAGCATTAGTCTTGCTGACATGTTCATTGCTAATTAATTTTCAAGGTGTGTTCCTCCTTAGGAAGCCCACTGTTAAAATTTAATATCTTTGTGTTGAAGTTGTTGTTTCATTTTCTCATTCCAGTTGTTGCTTAGAACATCACCAGATGAAGATGATATTGAAAGCTTAGAGCAGGTAAAAAGTACATTCATTCGGTACAGCCAAAATGAACCCTTACCATATCATTTCTAGTTTCTCTTTGCAGGAATCTCTTAAACCACTTTAAGAATGGACTTTTTTAAAAGTTACAGTTTGAAAGAAGGGAAAAAGCAAGAAATTTATTCAGCCCTATGTGAAATTTGTCCTAAGACATATCAAGACATTATTATTATAGAAATTAGTTTTTAAGCTGAAAAGATACCATTCAACAGTGTGTCAAAATTAACATTGTAGCACATGGACAAAAACTAGTGTGTAGGTCAGACAATTTGCAACATGAGCTGAGAAATGGCTTAATACAGGCAATTACATGTACATGCATTCAGATATTAAGTAGGGTAGCTGGCTGCATTAGCTCGAGTTTAACCTTGCCTAAATGATATTTAGCCACATTTATAAACTACTTCTTAAAGTTGCCTTAATCCTTCAGCACAGTAAAAACCCGCATATAAGAACCTAGACTTTCAAGGTCAGGCTGAACAGGTTCTTATATTTTAGGGTAGTTTTTCACAATTCAGGCTGATTAGGTTCTTAATAGGTTCTTATTTTTCAGAGGTTGTCGTACGTAGTGTAATCATTGGCAGAAATATTGTAGTACTAATACATAATGTATAAGAACCTATTTTTCTTTTCCTGGCTGAACAGGTTCTTGTATTTCTGAAAATTTAAATGGTGAATTTCAGCCTGTAGGTTCTTAAATCACTAGGTTCTTATATGCATTTTTTTTACTGTACAGCTTACTCAGTTATCAGCATTCTGTGAGAAATATCAAGTATTCAGGTCACTAGAACACAGAACTTGATCACCAAAGGAAAATTGTATTGATTTTTTATTGAATTCTCCCAACTGTCACCATGAGGAATGTGTCCAAACCAGTACCATAATAAGAATTTTACCCTTGACAGGCTCAGAGTGCACTGAGACCACTACAGACAGAGATGGAGAGAATTGTCCAATCCTCCGGAAGTCTGGCAAAGAAAAGAGAGTAAGTATGAATTATTTTTAGAGGGTTTTGAAGTACACTAGGAATGTTTTGGCAAGCTCTTATTCGGTAATGAAGGTCCAGTGGCATTGTGTTTGTTGCAGTGGACTCCAGGTAAGAGTTCTAGGTTGTTGTATTCTTGGAGAAGAAGGGTTACTTGTGCAACTTGGAACATAATCAAGTACTGGAGTATTGTCTTGTGTAAGAACACTACACAGTGTCCCCAGCCAGGGCTTGAACCTGGATTGCTTGATCTGGAGTTGAGTGCACTAACCATGCGGCCACCATGCCTCCCAACAAAATGCTGGGAGTATAGAAATACTCCCAGCCATGTTACACTATGGAAACCAGAGTAAAGTACCACATCCTTTTAGGCCTTGGACTTTACAAGGGCTTTACTTTTGCTTTTATTACTTACCAGGGACAAGTTCACGAGAGCGCAAAAGAGGAAATCAGGAGCATTCCGTTCAGCAGCAGTGATCATGAATGAACTGCAAAGGAACATTGATGGATGGGAGGTAAGACAGTGCACGTTAATAACCCTATCGCAGTTGAAGGCTGGACACCTAGTGATATGCATAAAGCTTCTGGTGAGAACCCAGTCTCAAGTCGGATAACTTACCTAAAGGCTAGTACTGCCCAAAACTAAAACATCCTTTGCTCTGATTTAAACAGACTACCTAAACATTCCTGTTACACAATATTGAAACACAATATTGAAAATTTGGCCGTCAAGTGACGGACAGAATCCATTAGCTCTGGGCTATCTGACAGGACTAATTCCCACATTAGTTGCAATAACCTGAGCTCCAGTTTGGATGAATGCTCTGTAGGCTGGCAGTACCCACAAGCTAGCCATAGCCATGATTACACTCGCCTGACAAATATCAGTGAGACTTCACAGTCAAACTCCTCCCCCCACTCATAGATAGGCATAGTTGCCTTCCATTTGCATGTAACAGCTCATTGCTATGTAGGTCATCCCCCACCTATATAGTGATTACGAAATAGAAAACATGTATTGCGTTTCTGTTGAGTTATAGAAACACGAGTGGAAGTTTGGGAGAATGAGAACACAATTTTAAACCAGTCAGCATGTGCATTTTCTTAGGACTGTTTTCTAAAAAATAACTAACACTGCTATCTGCTGTGGGAAAACAACATACAACTGTCTGCTCACTGCACAGTTTCTACTTTCAGGTTTTGGTTTAATAATGATTTTGACATTTTTCATAGGGGAGAGATATTTCACAGTCATGTACAGAAGTAATGAAAGGTGAGGGCAGTGATAAAGATGTCTGAATAATGTTTTTTTTTTTTCAGTTCCTATCTATTAAATTCAAATATATACAGATTGTGTTTCTAGTGAGATTCAAGGTCATATGCAATTCGCAGGATACTAACTCTGTACATGAAATCTGCACCCCTTGGCTAAAGAAAGGGCACGGACCCCTTAGAATTTGAAATCACCAACCCCAGATCAGATTGCCTCAAAATATTGTCAATGAATTGTATTTCAATCTGTTCACATTGCAGAGGGAATCCTTGGTAAAGTTCATCCCAACAAAAGGGACACTGAAAGATATGTTTTTCTTCTTGATGGCCTGCTGATTTGCTGCAAACAGGTAACGTGATGTACCTTGTAAAGGTCAGCACATACGAGCGGACTAGTCACTCTGACTAGTCTCTGCAACAAGTCGTGGGGACAAGTCCCATCGCGTGAACTGGCCATTTTTGCTTCAAGATCTAGTCGTGGGGTCTAAAATTTGGTCCCTGTGACTAATCCCACCAATAGGCCAATTCCGATATATCAAAATTCTAACTTGGCTCTGAGGCTTAGTGGAATAAAACGAAAGAAATCGCATTGAGGATGAGGGATGAATAATTAATTTCTTTTGTTTTACTCCCCAAAGCCTTAGAGCCAAGTTAGAATTTTAATATATCGCAATTGGCCTATTCAAACCAGTTTGAATTTTTGGGACAAGTCCCTACGACTTGTTCCTCAAAACGCATCATGTGAACTGTTTGTGGGACAGGTCCCTGTGACTAGCCCCTTCGTGAGGGGACTTGTTGCAGGGACTAGTCGCAGGGACTAGTCGCAGGGAATAGTCGCAGGGACTAAGCCCCTCATGTGTGCCAATCTTAACTCCTTTCTGCTGACTGACTGACAGATTGATTGACTAACTTACCAACTGACCGACTGATCAACTGACCAACTGATTGATTGACTAACTTACCGACTGACCGACTGATCAACTGACCAACTGATTGATTGACTAACTTACTGACTGACCGACTGATCAACTGACCAACTGATTGATTGACTAACTTACCGACTGACCGACTGATCAACTGACCGACGGATTGATTGATTTGACTTTCTTTATTCTTGCTTTTCAGAATACAAGGCATTCACTAACTGGTCCTTCACCAGAATACAGACTTAAAGAAAAGTACTTTTTAAGAAAGATTGAAATTAANCTGACCGACTGATCAACTGACCAACTGATTGATTGACTAACTTACCGACTGACCGACTGATCAACTGACCGACGGATTGATTGATTTGACTTTCTTTATTCTTGCTTTTCAGAATACAAGGCATTCACTAACTGGTCCTTCACCAGAATACAGACTTAAAGAAAAGTACTTTTTAAGAAAGATTGAAATTAACAACCTTGATGACACAGAAGGTAATTATCGCACCCGACTCTATTTCTCTTCTGGCAGATCTCAGAGATCAGGCAGCTATCTGTGAGTACCTATTTTCATTTCAGCATCTTGCTGAGTACAAATAGCAGGGCTCAACTCTTGCCACAGTCATCTTCTATAGAACTTCAATGTAATGTAGAATTCTTTCACCAACAGTATTTCTCCGTGCAGAGTTTTCTGTGTAGTACATTATGTGTTGGCCTGAATAGCAGGCAGTTCTGATACTGTTAATCCACAGACATGAGCATGTACATATAAAAGACATTTTATTAATTAAGAAAAAAAAATTACATTTGTTGCCTGTTTCTGTAAACTCTTACCCATGCACTTCAGAGTTCTTTGACATTCTGCCAAACTTGATCTTTCTTGTACTTGTATCAGGTTGCCATATTTAAACAGGTTTGTTTCGATGTCATTGGTGATTACAACACCCAAAAATTGCCTACAAGTTGATATCAAGTTAAAGCAATGACGAGTTGAAATGAATTTGCATATTTTCAAACTAGATGTAAAGAATGCTTTTGAGATCGTTGACAGAGATCAGCCAAAAGCTGTCTTCACTTGCAAGACGGAGGAGGACAAGAATGAATGGATGTCAGTGCTAATGACAATCTACATGAGAAGGTATTAGGGTCTGAAATACCTGATCATGACATCAGTGAAGTCACTGTTATCTTCATTTATGTAATGGTTATTCTATAGACTCTGCATCTACATGTATGTCAATAAGATTCAACCCCCTATGATAGATACCTAGAGCAGGTTGAGCTGAAGCAATTTGCAAAGACTGATTTATTACCAGTGCTGTGGTAGTGTAGCAATTCTTAAGTACATGTAGTTACAGCTTTGTAGCGCATTAGATTGATTGTTGACTAAGATAGTCGGTCCAGTTGGTTTTGCTTTTTCCAGCAACTTAACAAAACTGGAAAGTTCAAAACAATTTTCAAGGACCAACCAGCTTCCAGTGCCTTTTATGTATTGTTAGATGGTTTCTTTGATAGTAGCTGATCAGGCCCAGTTGTTCAATGGCGGGATAACGCTATCAACCGGATAAATCACTATCCAGTGGATAAGGTTTGACAAAACAAACCTTGCTATCTGCTGGATAGTGATTTATCCGGTGGATAGCGTTATCCACCTTTCGAACAACTTGAGCCTGATTGTGTTGGGATAGTCAGACAGTGAACTGGATTCAGTTCTCCCTGTTTTGGTGTAACTCACAATTTTGTTTTTGTCTCTCAACAGCACACTAGACCGAATGTTGGATCACCTTCTTTTAGAAGAAGAGAAAGCCATCCCTCTAAGAATGCCCGGTCCAGAGGAATACTGGTTAGTTCATTTACATAATAAAAATGCTGTGTAACACAGTCAACTCCAGTTGTAATGCACACACACTTTGTAGCTTGTGAACAGATTACAAATGTATCATCAAAGAGACAGCTATAGAAATATTAGTGTAGGTGTTTGAAGCTTTCTTTCGTTTGTTTTTTCCTAATTAACTTCACTAGTGAGACTACTAAACTTTCAAAGTGACTTTGCCTTTTCTTCTCCTTCACCCAGTTTTGCTGTTGACGATGCTGAAGACAATATTGTGTTTGAGGAAGGACAAGGGGTAAACTTGTAAACTTTTCACTCAATAAGCGTACACATTCTCNCCAGCAACTTAACAAAACTGGAAAGTTCAAAACAATTTTCAAGGACCGACCAGCTTCCAGTGCCTTTTATTTATTTTTAGATGGTTTCTTTGATAGTAGCTGATGAGGCCCAGTTGTTCAATGGCTGGATAACGCTATCAACCGGATAAATCACTATCCAGTGGATAAGGGTTGACAAAACAAACCTCGCTATCTGCTGGATAGTGATTTATCCGGTGGATAGCGTTATCCACCTTTCGAACAACTTGAGCCTGATTATGTTGGGATAGTCAGACAGTGAACTGCATTCAGTTCTTGCTGTTTTGGTGTAACTCACAATTTTGTTTTTGTCTCTCAACAGCACACTAGACCGAATGTTGGATCACCTTCTTTTAGAAGAAGAGAAAGCCATCCCTCTAAGAATGCCCGGTCCAGAGGAATACTGGTTAGTTCATTTACATAATAAAAATGCTGTGTAACACAGTCAACTCCAGTTGTAATGCACACACACTTTGTAGCTTGTGAACAGATTACAAATGTATCATCAAAGAGACAGCTATAGAAATATTAGTGTAGGTGTTTGAAGCTTTCTTTCGTTTGTTTTTTCCTAATTAACTTCACTAGTGAGACTACTAAACTTTCAAAGTGACTTTGCCTTTTCTTCTCCTTCACCCAGTTTTGCTGTTGACGATGCTGAAGACAATATTGTGTTTGAGGAAGGACAAGGGGTAAACTTGTAAACTTTTCACTCAATAAGCGTACACATTCTCATTTCAATGCTCAAAAATTGACTAGGGACTTTATAAGTTAAAACCACCGTGTACATCGTAATAAACACTGCCACATGGAGGTATCTCACTTCCGACGGTACAACTTTCATTTAAATGGTGACATACTAGAAGGACCTTCCACAGCACTTCGCTGCTGTCACAGTATTGTTATCAGTGTTCCAGATAGGTGAGGTGTCTCAGGTCAAAAACCCGACAAGGTCACCCACATGACCCGCCAAATAAATAGAAAATTTATAATGATTTGGTGGGAGCAGTAGGAATTGACGCCGGACCCATTGGAATTCCTTGTTGACACCCAGCCTTGAAAACTTATCTAGAATCCTGATTGTTATCACTGGCTGGGTGCTTAGCAGATTATTTTGGTGTATTTTTTAGGCAAGGTGGTTAGTGTAATTCTTGTAAATGGGTACCGGTGAATTTGAATGCTGGAAGTAACACTGCAATGGACTAGCATTCCATCCAGGGGGGAGTAGAAATACTCCTTGTCGCTTCATGCCAAGGAAACTAGAGATATAAGAGATAAGCGCCGGCTTGATGGGTCTCTAGGTTAGAATGAAGGCTTCGTCACTAGGTGATATGGTGTAATTTCTTTTCACAGAGCTCAAGTAATGCTCCAGTTATAAAAGGTGGAGCTCTAATAAAATTGATTGAAAGACTGACACATCACAAGTATGCAGGTAAGTTTTGATGTCCAAAGCATAAAATATTACATTTACTTTCATTGTTTCAGTATTCTTGGAACTGAATGTAATTCACACAAAACCAAATGTCACATCAGTAAAACGGCAAGAGTGAAACAGATTTCTACGTACTTCTAACAGAGCCTTCATGTAAAAAATTAATAATACTAATGTTATGCATAAACAAACAAAAACTAACGATGAAAACCGACGTTTCAGTGTCTTCATGACGCCATTGTCAAGGTAATGAAAAATAAGGAATACAAATTCTGCTTGCTAGTTAATAAAGTTGTAAAACGAGATTTACGCAGAGAGCGCGAGGCAAAATGTTACAAATACTTTTGCGCAAAGTGAGTCGCTTTGCAGGCGCTAAGGTATTTGTATAATTTTTCCTCGCACTCTTTAAATAACTTCATTTTTACACCTTTATTGACTCGCAGAATTTGTTGATTGATAACATGATATGCAAACTCTTTTAAGCTTATATAATAGTGCAGAAAATATTACATACTAATGAAAGAATTCTGCAAAATCAGTCATTGTTGTATTTTTCCGTAGATCCAACTTTCGTGAGAACGTTCCTGACGACGTACAGATCGTTCTGCAAGCCAAGGGAGCTCTTGGACTATTTGATCCAAAGATATCCTTTTCAGTGTTTGCAGCTATCATGCGGAATGCTTGAATGTTCATTATCCCCAAACTAATCGAAGAGTCATTCTTCTTTGTGTTAGTTGTGATAATTTAATGGTACACAGGGGAAATTCCCTCGTTTCCTACCATGTTAAGAATCGTGTTTGCAATGAAAAGGTAAATAGTTGGGCATAGCAAAGTTATAATATGTTAAAATAGCTTTTATAGACACTTTCACGGTTTCGGACGCCATCTTGCTTGGGGGGCAAACAAGGCAAAAGTTACAGTGAATGTGTGGGGAAAATGGAGAATCTAGTGAATATCAACCCACGGAAAATTCGAGTTCTGAAGTATTTATGAATTAAAAACTAAAGTTACCAGGTAGAAGAATTCATAGATCACATTTCAGGGAAATCGCCTCGCTAGAAAAGCCACAATCTGATTAAGGTTTTCATTTTTCCATACATATGTCTGTAAAATCGAGTTGTTCGAGACGTTTGTGCGAAAAATTGAAAGTTCAATTCCTCGCCTGACAACAGAAAGACAGCAGAAAGACAATCACTCCCAAGTTATTGACCATCGAACTTCTAACTTTTCCCATGCATATACTGCAATTTTTGCTGTGTTTGCCCCCAAGCAAGATGGCTCAAAAACAGGTCTATGTCATGTTTGAAGTGAAGTCTTATCACAACGTGCTGTTGAATATAAGTTCATTGACAGGAGGTCAAATAGGTGGTTTGCAACCAACCATTAGATCTGTAAGGAAGCTGCGTTAACTTTATTGAGCCTTAACTGTGCGTTACGTTTGACATACCAGAGCCTCCCCCGAGCGAGCTTGATGAACTTGCTATGGCCAGGGGGGAGCCTGTTGTCCGTGAAGACCTCAAGAGATTTAGAAAGGAATATGCTCAACCTGTGCAACTGAGGTATGTAATGGAACTAAAAATTTCCGCCAGAAATCGTTTGAGTNTAGTTGTGATAATTTAATGGTACACAGGGGAAATTCCCTCGTTTCCTACCATGTTAAGAATCGTATTTGCAATAAAAAGGTAAATAGTTGGGCATAGCAAAGTTATGATATGTTAAAATCGCTTTTATAGACCCTTTCACGGTTTCGGACGCCATCTTGCTTGGGGGGCATACAAGGCAAAAGTTACAATGAATGTGTGGGGAAAATGGAGAATCTAGTGACTATCAACTCACGGAAAATTCGAGTTCTGAAGTATTTATGAATTAAAGACTAAAGTTACCAGGTAGAAGAATTTATAGATCACATTTCAGGGAAATCTCCTCGCTAGAAAAGCCACAATCTGATTAAGGTTCATTTTTCCTTACATATGTCTGTAAAATCGAGTTGTTCGAGACGTTTGTGCGAAAAATTGAAGGTGCAATTCCTCGCCTGACAGCAGAAAGACAGCAGAAAGACAATCACTCCTAAGTTATTGGGCATCGAACTTCAAACTTTCCCCATGCATATACTGTAATTTTTGCTGTGTTTGCCCCCAAGCAAGATGGCGTCAAAAACGGGTCTATGTCATGTTTGAAGTGAAGTCTTATCACAACGTGCTGTTGAATGTAAGTTCATTGACAGGAGGTCAAATAGGTGGTTTGCAACCAATCATTAGATCTGTAAGGAAGCTGCGTTAACTTTAATATTGAGCCTTGACTGTGTGTTACGTTTGACATACCAGAGCCTCCCCCGAGCGAGCTTGATGAATTGGCCATGGCCAGGGGGGAGCCTGTTGTCCGTGAAGACCTCAAGAGATTTAGAAAGGAATATGCTCAACCTGTGCAACTGAGGTATGTAATGGACTAAAAATTTTCGCTCAGAAATCGTTGGAGGTGAACTTTTTTTTTCTTTTGAGCAAACACACGTTTCTCTTCACAAGTTAAGTTGGGGGGATCTTTGTTTACCATAATACGCAAGTTGTACTTCATTAGCATATCTAAGAAGCGCTTCCCTCTCTGATCGAGGGTAAATAAAGTTTTTTTAAAATTTTATTTACGTAAGTTTGCCTTACGTTTTTTCTGAGCAGAGTTCTGAATGTTGTGCGACATTGGGTGGACAATCACTGCTACGATTTCGAGCGTGATTCGGAGTTGTTGACGAAACTCAGTCTGTTCCTGGAGGGAGTCAAAGGCAAGGCAATGAGACGCTGGGTGGAGTCAATTAACAAAGTTATTTCCAGAAAGGTAAGTGTTCAGTCTTATTATTCGAATTCTGATTCTATGTTTGGGCAGTTTTCATTTGATTGTTGTAAAACCCAAGTTGCTAAAGCTACTGTCAATCACAGCGTAAAGTGAACCAATGAGAACACGAAGCCAATGCGCAAATCGGAACCGAGCGCCAAGCGCGGGAAAACACACGTGACCAAGGCATGCTTGGAATTGGTTTTACATCTGATTGGTTGAGTAGCTGGCACGTGATTATTTAAGCCAACCGCGGAACGTAGTGAAGCAAAACCAAATCAAGTCCGTCTATGATTGAACTTTGCTGTGACTTGTTGTCCAAAGCCAGTTAGTCGGTAAGGAGCAGGGCTTGGCAACTCCGTAAGCATTAATTAATTAATTAATTAATTAAGGTATTTGTTTTTCAGACAACCAACAGAGAAAGTTTAGCTCCTGAAATTACATTTGAGAAGGAGCCGCCGCCGATTGAGTGGCACATAGCAGCTTGTAATGACATCGAACGGTTCGACATACTCACGGTAAGTTCAAGTCATCTTGTTTTGTGTTGTTCGTAGCGTTTTACTTGTCCACTCCAATACAATCGAAAATGCTAATGCGCTGTGAGAAAATAACATAACCGTCATTTGCGCATACGACGTGACGTCAGTGTTCGCGAAAGCTTCCCGCATTTCCGCTGTCCACACTTGTACCATGGAGCTCCGTTGTTTTCAAATGTGCACGTTTTCGATGAAAAAGATGAACTTTTGCGATCGTTTTTAATAGTGTGGACGGTAGGCGAAAACGTATCATTAAGTTAACGTTTTAGGTAAAAACACATTAATGTAGACAGGGCCTAACTCTAAGTTTCATTTTGAATTCATACGTAACTCTCTTAATGCAAGTCTTAAGTGTGTTTATGTTTTAAAAACCAATCGTTCAAGCTTGTTATTTTTCTTGCAGCTGCACCCAATCGAGATTGCACGGCAGCTGACTCTCATCGAGTCAGAGTTGTACAGGTAAAGGATTTATTTTGTTCTTAATTGCTGTAGTTTTTATGTCATGACAGTGACACAACTGAACCCACAACCTTCCTAACTTTAGTTGACGACTTTTCGAAGTCTTCATGTTGTCGAGTTGTTGTTAATCAAGGGAGCTTAAGAAAACCACGGCAACGGGAACGTTACTGAGCAAAAGAATTAATGAGCAGTACAATGGTTGTGCACGTGCGTTATAATTATTGGCACATTTCTTTGCCGTTCTCTGCAAAACAACAATGTGAAATGACCAAATTCTGCGTTGTCTGGAGAACGTAAAATTTTTATTTCAAATTTATCGCTGTGTTTCGTGATAGTTTTGACAGTGATAAAGTAAATGACTTAAGAGTACCGCGAGATTCGTAGGTAAAAGATAAATTCATTTTTTTTAATCGACGTTGTCCTGGGCGTCGCCATCGTGGTTTCCTAAACTCCCTACAATCCGACCTAGCACTAGAGTTTCTGTAGGAACAAATCTCCGCTTTGTTTGTTTTCAGAGCGGTGCGTCCTTCAGAACTTGTGGGGAGCGTGTGGACGAAGGAAGACATAAAGCATCTCACATCACCGAACCTACTGAGAATGATTCATCATACAAACAAGATCACGGTCTGGTTTGAGAAAAGTATGCTGGAGTTCCCGAACTTAGAAGAAAGAGTAGCAGTTTTAAACAGAGTTATCGATATTCTAACAGTGAGTATTCAGAGAAAAAGTACATGTAAGCGCCTCCGCAGACTGGACATTTAGTTGCCGACAACTATTTGTTATCGAAAACTAAATGTTGTTGACTAATAAAAAACGTAGTGTGTGAGTTGAGTTGTCGACAACTAAACGCTAAATTGTTTTAGTTGTCGACAACTAAGCAGTCTCCCTTTTCGAAAAGTGAAACTGCTTTTAATGAGTTGTCGACATCCAGGTTTTGACCGTTTTTCCCGTGTGTGGGAATCATTGGCTTAGTTGTCGACAACTTTCGAAACATGACACACATTTGAGCATGCGTAATGTGTTTTGAGCATGCGTAGTGAATGTTATCTCCCAAGTCCTCGCTGGCCTGTCTTTGTTATTGACAACTAACACTCCAATTTGTGGAATGGTTGAATTGGTGGCACGAGGTTTTAAGCCAATCATAGAGCGCAGTGAGTAAAACCAACACAATGCCGGATCGCTTTTGCTCCTTCTTAAAATGTCCTTCATTCAAAGAGCTGAGAAGTTAGCTATAAATTTACAGCTATCTCAAATGTTTCATTTACGTGGTCGTTTGTGTCTTAATTTTTTTGCAGGTTTTCCAAGAATTAAACAATTTCAATGGTATTTTAGAAGTAGTTAGTGCAATCAATTCGTCGCCTGTTTTTAGACTTCAACACACCTTTGCGGTACGTCTATCGTTTTCATTTTATTTCATTTTGTTCTGTCGTTGCTGTTTATTTATTTAATTATTGCTATTTTTTTACCTGCAGGAGTTATCCGTTCGACGGAGCCAGGCTCTGGAAGAGGCGAAAGAGCTTAGCAACTATCATTACAAGAAGTACATTGAGAAGTTACGCTCGATCAATCCACCGTGTGTTCCCTTCTTCGGTACGCAATAAAAACAAAAAATTTCGTACGACTTAAAATTTGTACAAAAAAAGTTTCCGAAAATAAAACCGTTCGAAAGATTTGTAGTACAGTGTGGAATTTTTAAGTAGCTCCTAAGCCCATAGTTTCCTTTATGAGGCGAACACTGCTTGAGATACGAGACGGTTTGACAAGATTTGTTTTAATTTCTCCTAGGTTCATCTCCAAAATCTCGAAGGTGCAGTATAAGTATCATTTTCACAGATGTCTTTCCTGTCTAATTCGTGTTTTCTAGGCGTAAATTTATGTTTTCGTCACAGTGTCCGAAATTTTTGTCTGAAATTTGTCCGAAATTAGACAAAAAGCGTCCGAAAATTAAGCGTCCGAAATTTTTTGCAAGTAATGTAGGTTGGAGACTGCTCTGTGATCACTTTGATTCGAGCAATATTTACCTCATAGTACGACGAAGTTAGTCTGGAGGGCCAATAACTAAAATCAACCAATCACTGCTCGATTACCGGTCCGATATTTTCTAAGTCTTGAAGTTTCTAAGATTGAAGTTGTAAAGAAATCTCTTATCAACCAAGCCCGTTCGGGACCTCGGGCCGATATTCAACAGTATGGCCCTTTCGCATGGTCAATATGAAATATATACATATCTGCTGCTAATTTTACTAATTCATGGCAACTGGCTCGGCTCAGATGATCGCGTCTCGGGGAAGGGACGTTAAGCCGTTAGCCTTCCACTACACTTTAACCGTGACAAGTTGTAAAGACGTTGAGATCCTACACCACTGATAAAGACAGTAGGGGTCATAGCCCCTGGTGTTTTTGGCGTGTTCCTAAGAAAGGCGGAAGCGTTTCATTTATAAGGATAACCTCATGGCCTTCCGTCAAAATGCCTGATTGAATTCTGTAAACAACGGTGAACTTTAAACTAGTCGCTTATATCGAGACTACTGTTTTTGTTCATTTTCCTTTTTGCACTTTAGGTATGTACTTAACAAATATCCTGAAGACAGAGGAAGGCAATCCTGATTTTCTACCCAATTATCCTGAGGGGATCATAAACTTTAGTAAAAGGTGAGTTACCACCGCAGTAGACCTTTTTTCACAATAGCAACATGCATCAACATGATATTTTTCATGTTGTACTGCAGTTTAGTCATAATGTCTCTCGGAGGGGAAACACTGGAAAGGAAGACGCTCTTGAAAAGTCAGCTCGTCCTAGTAAGTTCTGTTTGGAAAACCTGTCACCTTGTTGGCAAAATGGGACAAAGATCTCAGCAGGGCACACTAACCCAGGATTAAAAGTTAACCGAAGTATTAATTTTCCTTGTCTCAAAATGTTTTTCATTACTTTTAATCTGTGCAGTTTGAGATTATTAAAGCTCAAAACTGAAGGGCAAGCAGAAATATAAACAGAAAACCTCACCCAAAACGTACAAAACTGAAATCAAAATTCTCGCTAATCCTGGGTTCGCTTAAACGGGCTTTGAACAACCCGGCAGTATTTTATACCTGGGTCTATTTGTATCCACAGGAGAAAAGTGGCAGAAATAACTGGTGAAATCCAGCAGTATCAAAACCAGCCTTATTGTCTCCAGAAAGAACATTTTATCGCGGTAAGTCACTGTAAGCAATTTATTTCGAAAGTCTTCGGAAAAGCGCTCGTTAAGGCATTTTCACTCCTTATTAGCTTGTAGTCAAGAAAATGTCACATCAATAGAATGAAAAATTCCTCACTCTGAAAAACGTTCCCCGACTCCCTCTGAAAACGAGGAAACACTCTTGCTAAAATTTCTTCCTTGGCGCGAAAACGTGAGAAAATTTCCCGACTGATGAAAGATTTCTGAAAGAAAAAAGTCAGAGACGTTTTCGATTTTACTTCCACAACAAATCTTGCGTGTTTGCGTAGACGCAAAAGACTAGCAATGTTACTGTTTTCTCATTTTCGGGGACCTCTGTAAGACCTATAAACCAGTCATTTGTTAACATGTATGATCTGTCTTTAGGAATATCTAGAATCATTGGATCCGTTTGAAGGACGCAGTGATACCGAGATGGAAGATTATTTGTATCAACTTTCTCTGGAGATTGAGCCGCGAAACTGCAAACAGCTGGTTAAACACGTAAGTGGAAATGCAAGGTACCAATAAAATTAAGTAGACGACTGCAGATTTCTAAATGATTGATAGGCTGCTTAACTGACGCACTCTGCTTATTCCAGCATTTACCCTACTGAGGCCGATGTGGTGGGGTGGGGAAAGGGTCGACTGCACCTGACTAGCCATTCGCCAGGGAAATTCGAAGCCTCAAGTTTTTCGTTTTAAATGCTCCCTGTATGCACGAAATAGGATCACAAGGAACCGTGGTTTTATACGATTTCGAGGGCGACTTTTACCATCACGTAAATGTCTCAAACTTTCCCACTACATGGATTGAACCCGAAGAATTCCATAGTGATGACGCTACGTAATCATTGGAATTTTTCGGGTCGAATCTCGGATGTCTCAAACGGGAAAAGAATTAAAGGGGTCAAGAGTGGGGTGTGTTTACATAGGGTGATTGTATGGACAGATTCGGTGTCTTGCGTGACAGAAATTCCTTCCTTTAACGATACTCAGACGCAGTTTCTGAACACCAAAGAGAGGGTGAAGCGTACTATTGAAGCGTCCGTAATGTGAGCAATAGATTATATGAATTCTGGCTTTTCTGAGACCTAGTGACCTGTCTCTGATGTAGAGGTGACTTGTTCTTTAAGGGACGGACAATGGAGGGGGGGCGGGTGGGGAGGGGGTTGGGCAATTTCAAAGTAAAAACTGCTGGGGAAAAACCTGCAAGGGGAGCCATGGTGAAAAATAATCGAGCAAGTGCTTTCTACTAACATTGTTTTGGTTTCTGATGTTAAAAAATAATTTTTGCACGAGCTGTTGCCCACGGACAAAAGAATCATGCCCAACCTAAAGGTGAGAAAAAATTTCATGCCCTAGAAAATTTCCCAACCCCTCCCCCCCTCAAAACATTATGGCCCGTCCCTAATGTCTTGTCGTTTTTTGTCTTATACTATTCAGCCTCGAAAAACGGACATTTCGCTCAAGTCACCAGGAACTAAACCCAGCTATCTGCAGTCCCGCCTGTCAATCACATCACAAACTACCTTGAAACGGAGCACCTCTCAAGCGTCCGCCATTTTCTTACCTGACAGTGACATGTTTCCTTCAACTACGTCATTATCTCCGAGTACGCCGAGGACTTCGTTATCCTCCATGACTTTCCTGCCTCCCGACAATGTCTCGGAAACGATTCCCGAATCTCCGTTGTTGGAAGATTCAGAGCCTGATTACGTCAACATCGAGAACTTTCCGGAGAAGGAACCTCCACCCGACATACCCCCTCGGAAACCGTCAGCTCAGTCGAAGCCTCGGGCGGCTTCCGTTAACGGGGAGAGGTCTTCCGAAGATGTTACTTCGCCTGTCCACCGGCAAATGTCGATGACTCTTCCGGGTGTGCCTCGAATACCTCCGAAGTCAGTGACATTAGAGAGGTTTCCGAATCCTGCTCAAGAGAGCGACGATGCGCCTCCAATTCCCCCTAGGGAGAAGGGGACTCGTCGATCTCCACCTCCCATTCCCCCTAGGATACCCTCAGGCCATGAACCTGTGTTCGCTAATGAGGAATTAGCCAATCACGAGGACGCTCTTCCACCGGCTTTGCCGCCAAAATCAAGGCGTTCATGACACTCATGAGATGTCGTGACCAATCACTGCGTGACAAAAAGACTAAAAGGCTAAAAGACTTCCATTGTATGGAGTGCCATTGTATGGAAAGTAAATTTGTTTTAAAAATTGATTTTAAAACGTAGCTATAAATGGCGCGATTCATCCCAAGGAATATAGTCCTGATTTTGCTCAGGAGTAGAATTATATATCTTGCAAATACAAGGATATTTTTTTTTCCGTTTTCGAGAATAGTGGACTATGTAACACGTGTACTGAAACATGAAACAATTGAACAATTTTGAAATCGAGTAGCAGTCAACAAGCTAGCCTGGATGTTGATGGAGGCCTGGTACGAGTACTAATAAAATGGCAATAATTTTACGTTCCTGGTGAACATCGAAGTTGTGGGTAGGGAGGGTGGGTGTTTTGAGTATAAATACAAATGTGTTCCTGAGGGCATGCCCCACAATTAATCGATGAGACAAACGCTTCGTTGCGGGAATCGTTTAATAAATTTTGCTTTATTGCCGAGAGAAACTCGAAGTAAACTGTAATTCCTAGAAATATCAAATGTTTTTTTAATGTCCCTCTGAAAATAAAGATAATTCAATTCCTAGCAGTTTCAGTATTGTATTTTGGTTGGTTGTTCATTACTTGTCTCCCTCGTAAATTTGGAGCGAAATAGGTCATAGCTTGTGTACATGTGGCTAGTGTTGATAACCCACTCCTCACTGTAATCTAACTATCTTCACCGTTTCCTTGCTTATGATTATGCAATCTCTTACCATTATGAACGGCAGTTTTTTTTTCGCCTTTTCTTTGAAGGCAAAGGCACCAACTCTGGCTGACATGTCTATTTTACCATAATACTAACCTTGAGTATTGAAAAAGAATGGCACGAGTAACTGTCCCACGAAATTTGAGCCCACTCGTTTTGAGATGCAGGTTTAAAATCTTGGAACTTTACCAGGAAATTTTGCATATTTGGAAATCCAATATCTTTATTATTACAAGGGGTTACAGCAGGAGGTCAAAATTATTTGAACTGAACATTATAAGAAAAACTTTCCCCTAGATGATCAAACCAAACGGCCAAACTCGTCCTCACAGCAGGTCTATTTGTCCAGTCAGCCAGTCCTCAATAGAAACCCCTGTAATACACCCACAAAGCTACACATTTCACTCGTTACTAAATATCCAAGTTCTTTAAGTGTTTACAGTCAATTTGTATCACGCATGATGCTTTCTTCACTCAAACCCGTACGCCAACGAGGCAAACTTCCGATCAATGGTACCCCATAGTACCCCATATTTCGGATCAATTCTAGACGACCTCGCTCACTCTCACTGACTGAAAAAACAAATCAAGACTAGTTTAAAAATTTATTTATTCTCGTCTCCTACAGTTAGGTCACATCCGATATTGATCATTTGTATTCATAATATAAATTTTACAGAAATCTCCGTTCAATTTTAAACGAGAAACGCTTGTTTAACTAAGAGAATGTATACCGAGCTATCTAACTTGACAAACGTTTCCTCCTTTAAAAACAGAACTTGACAGTTGGTGAAATAGAACAATTATGGTGAAATTCCTCCTATCTTTGGAGTCTAAAACGGCGTAAACATTTACGAATACATAATTTACAATATTCTGTAAGCATAATAATTATTGTTTTACATTATCGTTAAAAAGATGACACTTGACAGCTTAGCTGCCTTGGTCTATGTTATGTGCGCATAATTTGCGACACCCACTTAATATTTGTTTTAACTTTGGTTTCGCCTAGCGGAAGATCACACGTGATGCACATTAGTTTGTGGTTTTGAAACATGCATACACATGGTATAGTTTAGGTGTTTGAAAAAACAGCTAGACGCCATTTAGACAACCTATGGCTGTAGCTCCCACATTGACTCCTCAGATATTCACCTGTGAAACAGACGCTGCATTTTACTGTCACAGCGTTTTTGCACTGGTCAGGTTGCTTTCCATTGTGTTTTGCGGTTCAAAGGGACGATTTAATATTACAACAGTAGCATGTTTCTGATTACAAGTAATATCATTTCCTAGTATAACTATAGTGCATCTTCTATAGGTGAAAACGATCTTTAACCTTCTCCGCTACCATTTTAGCAATGGCAAGAGAGGACGTGGCTCCTGGGGAAGGCGCATTTCTGACGTGCAGCACTCGGCTCCCTATGTCACCTGAGCCTCCATCAAACACGAAGTCCTCCACTAAATTGCCATCACGGTCCATGGCCTGGGCACGAACTCCAGCTGGCCCTCTATGATTGGTTGAGGTGAAACAAAGTAGGTTAAGGCTACATTAACCAGTACTCATAAGCACTCATGAGTGGCAAGAGGCACTGAGAGTAAAGAAAGTCCAGCCAAAAAAAAACCACACAAACCGAACAAACACCTAGATTCTGTGTTGACTTCCACTGAATTAATGAAAAAAATCACGCAATCAATACGTGACGGCCTGGAAGAAAATTCTGAGAGCGGCACTTGGTTACATACCTCTCAACGTCCTCGACTTTCAGACTGGGTATGTATCTTTGAAGTTGCTTAACTTGTGCTGATTTGACGATTCCACGATAATACTCTCCAACACCAAATGTGAAATACTGGAACATTAGTTTCCTTAGACCACTAAAAGACAAAAGATGATACATGTATTCAGAATTGTTTCTCCTGTTACTTAGCGCTTTAAAAAACTATCACAGCATCGCTTTCTTTCTTTCTACAGTTGCAAACGTTTTCAAATGCTGAACTCCACAAATAGTTTGCAAAACTCGTACAACACGTGCATTTCTGACCAATCGCGCTCACCCTCCGCGCTTCTTAAATATATTGATGGCATTTCTCTGCTTGATTTCTGGTTGGTTAGCCTCGAATTTTCCCGCGCTTCTCACGGGCAACACTTGTTGCATTAAGTTTCGATTGGTTAGTCTCGACTTTTCCCACGCGTCTCCTTGGTGACATTACGTTGAGTTCTAACTGGTTAATCACAGTCTTTCCCACGCTTTCCCCTTTGTCACGTGTTTTAGTTTCGACTCTGTCGTCGTGAAGCTCTATCATAACTTTAATTCTTATTTCAGAACAGTCGTTAGACCTATCAGAATACAAAAATAACATTTTCCCGTTAAGGGATGTTAACCCGCCTACTTGAAATATGAATAATAACGGGAAAAAATAGGTCCTGACTTAGCCAATTGTAAACCGTTAAGAGTCAAAAAACACAAAACCAAACGTTAAACGCCATCCATAGTTTTGAATCGATGGTTTGCACCAAGAAAAGAGCATCTTTATGAGTAGTTCTTAAATAATACATACCGGTACCCCAAGGCATCTATTAAGTCCTTAAAATTCACATCTGTAAGTTTGTATCCTTCCCGAGCAAATGCCAAAACAGCATTGGGCCCAAGCCACACGCTGCCATCAACGCGCGGAGTAAAATGGACTCCAAGGAAAGGAAAATTTGGGTCTGGTACCTAAGAAGAAAAAATTAAATTCTTTTATAGCCGGAATTACTCTCACACAGCGGTGTGCTTTCTCATTGCCTAACTCGAGAAAAACCTCTAAAACACTAACTGCAAACGGTCAATGACTTTTACCAAAAGACGATGATTAATAAGAGAGTTAATTCCTCTTATAGGCCTCATTCACGAGGTAATCCATGTCAAATTATTTTTAGATCACTCCCGGTTTCTGAAATCTTGACAGGGTCTATAAATAGCCAACCGTATGACGTGACCTTTACGCAAGTGGACAGCCCACGCACGCATTTTTATCCTCCATGAGAACATCCACGCAACGCACGTGGTAACAGTATCCGCGGAAGAACTGGGCACTATGTCTAAAAATAACTGAAGAGGGATAACCTTGGGCAAGTGGCCTATATAGGAGATTAACTCTTACATTTATCTTCTCTTGCTTAACAATGCAATTAAAAAACAAGGAAGTTTGTGTTAGCAAAGAAATAAGTTTAAGTAATTTGAGATTAGCGATACAAGACAAGAATGGACATGGATCTGAGACAAAGCAGACAGCAACACTTTTATACACATTGTGCAACAGCCCAAACAAATTTTGCGAAGGCGACATACGCACCGGGTAAATGTTGCCGTTGACTAAGTAATTCTTTTCGTCTTTCAACTTGAGGTATTCTCCTCGGAATGGCACAATGCGAGGATCTTCTTTACATCCGGATTTCTCTGCCAACCGGTCTGAATAAAGGCCTCCGCAGGTGACGACATAACGACAGCTAATGGGGGACTGGTAGAGAGAAAAGCAAGGAATGCAATAAATTAAGCTGTAAGACATAGAACGGTACTCACTCGAGTGTCAAACGTAATACGCTGACGCATTTGCACTGGGTTTGCATGACTACCCTACACGACTGGCTTAAAAAACTCCACGCACATGTTTTCCCGCGCTTTTCGCCGGCTACATGCATTTGCTCTGAGTTTTGATTGGTTAACCAGATTATCTGCGTCCTTTGTGATTGGTTAGAGTAATTACTTTGGTTTTGGTTCAATGACACTCTTGAAATTGAAAACCTCTCTTACCGCATAGCTATGTTTAATTGTTTAGGGTAGGTCACTTCCTCTAACCTTAAAAAAAGTGTCTGCAAAGGAGTTGATTCCTTAGTCAAAAATACTGTTTAAAGAGTGAATTTTCTTTGTTTTTGCTCAGTGAGTGAATGAGACAAACAAGAGGGTGATGGGGCCAAACACAAAACTCCCATTACGTTAAACAAAACTAACGTGTACTTTAGGTAGCAGGGAGAGAAATGAAGTGAATAGGCTTGATCAAAATTTGCCAGTTTCAGTTTCAGACAGGTGCCATAAAACTGTATAAAGTTTAGATCCAAGCATGGAAAACGATTGCAGATGAACTTTTCATGTGAACAGTCCAATTACATCAACATGTTTCGGTACTAGTGTAAATGCGTGCAGTTTGAGTAACGAAGATAACTGAGAAAGCAAAGAAACAAGAAAAAATCTTACGACATTCTTTCCATGTACAGTAACAGGGTGAGTGTGACCTGAGAAAAAAGGAACAATGTGATAGACCACAGCACCTGCAAATTTTAAGTGCTAGCAAAAATGACACAGAGAACGCTTCAATTGGAGGGAGATAGCCAGGGTATTGGTCAGTAGGTCCTGCCTTAGCCTGCCTTTAGCTCTTCAAAAAGATTGGCTATGCACTTTAATTGGACCAAAGTGAGTGATCCCACCAAGACAAAGGCTTATCTTGGTTTCTGCAACAAGATTGCTTCACACTCTCTCCTGGAAAGAATATGCTAGTGGGGGGGGTACCCTGGCACTTTTCTGGTACACACCTATATACACCTGGGTAGAGAGAGGCACTGTGAGAGTTAAGTGTCTTACCCAAGAAAACAACAGAAAAACTCTTGACTAACAGTTGCTTGGACTCAAACCACTCGATCCAGACCACTGCATGAATCACAAGTCCATTACACACCACAAGTGATAACCCCACCCTGTCAACCACATAATTTAAGGCCTACGTTACTTAAAAAAATGCATAGTTGACTTTGTATATGTACAGATTGTATTTTATAATTAGTAAGAAGCTTGCCAAGAGGATGAAAAACTTGTAAAAAAATTTTACCTGCTTCCTTTTCTTGAGAACGATTACTTTCTGGGCTACAAGTGAAGTCTGTGACCTATGAGAAGGGTGAATCAAATGGTTAATTAATGATACTGATCTTTTTAATCAATAATATTGACACTTTGAAGTAGATTGATGAATTACTAAGTGACTGACATTGACAGAAAGGAGAGGAATGAAAATTTGAATTACATCAGGAGCATGGGACAAAGAAACAAATTCTCAACGAGGTTCAGACCCCTAACCTTCCAGATACTTGCCAACCACTCAAACCACTAAGCTATGGAGAGATTCACTGTAAGCTAAACCATTTACTAGCATCATATGTGACACAAATACTACATTTTACTAGGATCAGCAAAATCGAAAGTATTGCGCATGATAACTAATGACAGATAGCAAATTTTAAGCTTGGAAAAAGAATTTTTTCAGTAACAAGGGCTAAACTATGATAACTTTACGTAAGTAAGATGTGTGGAATAATTATTAGAAATGTTTTGCTCATATCCTGACCTCATAGCCAGTATAGATATCACCACCGGCCTTCTTGAAGTCATCACCATAACTTCTTGCTACTTCTGCCCAGTCCACTATTCCGGTATTGGGTGACAAGATGGCAGACACACCCTACAAACAGCACACAAAAACACAACTCTTTTACTACCAATAATGCCTGGCATGTTATTTTTTTTTTTTTTACGATATAAAGATTTTTTCACAATTTGATGTATGTACAAGCCATGTGTGAGTAGCTTTCTCATTTTGTTTTCTTCCTGAACCAGAATTAGTTAAGCAATCACAGACTATAATCAAGTGGGGCGGCTGATTCCCATATTTAAGTAGGATGACTGCTGCCCATATTTAAGTAGGATGGCTGACGCTCATATGTCAATGGCTTTGGAAAGAAAATGGCAAGTTAATCAGTATTGAACATCAAATTTTAAACTCATTATGAAGACCGTGTTCTAAACACTCACACACTTGCATCCTCTAGCATTTTAGCTTGCATATCCTACAAGCGTGCAATCTGAGTGTTTGAGCACGGAATATGATGTTATTGCAAAACAGGCCAAAAATATTTTCAATTTTCATTCCTCCCCACCCTTTGTATTCATGCTTACCCCTCCCTTTGCTTTCAATCTTGAGAGAAAATAGATGTTTGTGGACAGTCTAAAGACCAATCTCTTTAACCCCAAAGATAAATTCTTACCTCACAGTATGGCTCTACATCCTTAATTTCTTTTGAGTCCAAAATTTTCAGGTCCTTTACTCCATTTTCCAGGCCTCGTTGATATAATTTCTCAAGCTGAGGTAACTCTTTCTTTTCTACAGCCACTATAATCTAGGAAAATAAAAACTGAATAAGGACACTCAGGACACCAATTTGAATGATAAATCTTACCCCTCAGATTTATACCACAACAGGCTAGTTGAGTGCCTGATTTCAAAGCAGGAGAGTGTGGGTTCAAACCCTGGACAGACTGCAAATTGAACAAGGGACTTAATATTAAGAATGCAGTGAAAGCCTTACCAGACAATGACACCCTCGCTGGCATCAACCTAATATTTAAAGGGTGTCTGCTTTTAAAACAAATGTTTGTTTTACAGAAAATATGCAAAGAAAAGTTCAGCTTTATTTTATGGTTAGGCCTACCATCCATACCATCCTTTTTGAAAATGCTTTTCACGCCAGATAAATATGAAAATGCTGGCTTTGCATTTTAGTGTGGATGCAAAACATTTTCAGAACAGAACATTTCGAAAACATAATGTCTTGATAATCAGGTAAATATTTCCTGCCTGAGTCTTCTTCATATACAAATACAAAATTGCAGGTGAAAATTTCTCTGACATAATGTGAACAGTCATCATCTTTTAAGAGTGAAAAGACCATTTTCAAATTTCTTCAGTGTAGTGCAGTTCAAAATGTTTTGCCTCCCTGTACTGTGAAAACCAGTTGCCATTGTGCTGAAAACATTAATGAAACCCCTGAGAGTTATTAAATTAATTGAAGTATGGGATGTCAAATAATTCAGAGCACTGTTTGAAAATACTAGTCAAATGGAAAAATAATGTCCATTCTCAAGCATTTAACACATGTTAATTAACAGTCTTCTTAAAGAAGGAACACTTGATCATAATTTTATTTTTAAATGTGTAATTGACGTTTATTACTTATGGCATACTTTTCCACACTTCTTGTAAGGGATTTTCTTTTCATCGCAGTATTTGTAGGTCAGATCCAATCCCTCCACACATAACTTGGCCTTCAGGGAGCCTGGGGTATAGTAGATACCACAATGAATGACTCCACTGTTCTTGCCAGACTGGTGCAGAGCTAACGAACAAAGGAATGAATTAAAAACAAATTATGAAACAAATGTGAATGAAAAAAATTAATTAAGGTTAACAACATAGCCTACGCAGAAAACAAGTTCTCTTTTAATGTGCCTTAAAAGCCCTCACCCTCTGCGAGACAGATAGATCTATCTATCACACAGAGTGAATGAGAGATATGTCAAAGATTGCATGCAAAAAGTTCTGTACAATGATATGTAATCACATAACTCCACAGAGATTTGTTAAAAGTTTTTCTCCTTTTCTTATCTTTTTACTGCAGTGATTGACCTTCTATTTGGCTTACTTTCAGCGCAAAAATTCTGAGAAAGCATCATCAAGATGGACAATTTTTACCACAGAGTAGCCAAATGTAGTTAAAGGAAATTTTGCTTCGAGTTTTTCACACAAATTTCTGAGCATTTTCATGCATATTTCAGGGTATCACTGGAAAGATCTTTTCCTCCTGCAGAACTTGAGTATAGATGATGCTAATTCTGGTCATTGGTGATGACACCAGAGGTGGAACAAAGGCCAATACTTGTCATGGTCATTTGTGGCCAGCACAAGCTTCAATGGGTTAAACAACTCATGTACTTGTGTTTGTCTTGTACTCACATAATTCATTCTCTTTCTCTACAACTGCAAACTTCAATGTGGGATGTCTCAGGATAAGTTCTCTGGCTGTTCCAAGACCAACTATTCCTCCTCCAACTACAACCACATCATATGATGCTTGGGTAGCAAGGAATCTGTAAAGAGTTTGATTACCTCACACATAAGCACAATTTTATAACAGAAGAATTTAAGTGACCTTGGCTCATTAATTGACTATAATTTTTTTATGCTAGCCAGCATTAATTGTCTGTCACTGAGCTGTTAATCTCTATAAGCTGGACAATTGTGAGATCTTTGCATACCCATTACAGGATAAATACAGTTGAACCCCTACTAAGCGGCCACCCATAAAATGGCCACCCCTATTAGGCAGCCAGTAATCATAGTCCAGATGAGGGCTTCTTTTTTATTGTTTTTACCTCTAGTAAGTGGCCACTACCCATTTCCCCAAGGATGGCCATTTAATAGGCATTGAACTGTATCCAATGATGAATGTAAGCTATGGCCATGGTAGGCATTGCATCCCATTCCGACTGTATTTAAGTAAAGGGTATTTAATTAGTTCACTACATTTTGCCCTTTCTATCTTTCTTTCACTATGTTGTGGCCCAACATAGCACAACATAGCAGATCATGGCACAACATGTATACACTGCGGTGAATGGAAAGTGGAAAGTATTCAATGTGGTCATGTGGAGAAATAAAAAATACAAATACAAATACAAACATCTGCAGTTAGCCTGTTTATGGTTAGCTCTCAATGATGGAAACGGCAACACTATTCAGTCAAAAAGTCTGCAGTTTGCAGTCTACATTTTACACAGACCGCTTTGTCATGGACTATAAATATATAATATAAACCAGCAGAATATATTGAAACTGACACTTCTCATAACGGATCATGTTCACTTTTTTTGCCAGTGAGAACTGCCAGATTCAATGACCTTGTCATGGACTAGCCAGCAATACTTCTGGGAATGACACTTCCCCATAACGGTTACTGTTCAATTTATTTAATTTATAAGTTTATTTATTTATTTTAATTTGAAGAGAAGTCCCGCTCTGAGCTAACCTTACATGTAAACTTGCAAAGCCACGCGCTAAAGGCTTGATGCTGACAATAAATCAAAGACCTAAATTCAAAGGTACCTTCGTTGGATATGTTATTCCGCTGACAAAACACTCCATAGTGAAATTCTACTTAGAAACTTCTTTAGTTATGTGATCAAATGATGTTGAGCTTATTAACTACTGTTAGCTATGTATCATGTAACCTTCGGGATCGAGGTCTCAGAAGAGAAGTTGTCTTTTGGGTGATGTTTCCCCGCAAAAGTGAGCTTCCTTTTCCAAGCATGTTACCATCGAATTTGAGCCTTCTTATGTACCGTAATTGCGAAAAAAGTCACATTTCTTGAGATGTCTGGAAGATTTGCTGGTTTGCCGGCTCCGTCAAATTGAGTCAGGCGGCCTTCAGTCGCGAGAAACTGGGTAAGACAATGGCCAAGATAGGTACAAATGACGTGCAAAGTGATCTCTCCATACCAGGGTGCGCGCGGCGGAAAAAAAGGCCTACATATAAGTTCCCTGCTCCTCATACTCGATAGTCCGTCCATAGACATTTATTTTTTCGCTACGAGTTATTTTTCTTTAAGAGCACAAGCGATGCGATGCGAGAGCTAGCACAACACTCCACAACATGGCACAACATGGCACAACATGGCACAACATGGCACAACATAACAGAACATAGCACAACATGGCATAACATGGCACAACATAGCACTACATGGCACAAAGGATATCTTCTAGTTCAAAGAACGTTCACCTATCACGGAAACCCAACTGGTAAATCACGCATTACGGGCTTGTAAAAGAGCAAATCACGCATCACGTTATGATGTCACGCGGCTAATTTGGTAGCCTGCGTAGCAAGCGTTCCTGTGGGGGTCGGGAGCTAACCACCCCCCTCTTTCTTTTTTTGGTTCTCGCCCCATTTTCCGCGCAGACAAGACACCGAAAATCCCGTTCCTCGGTCTTCCTTTGCTTCCAAACCCCACGGAAACGCTTGCTACGCAGGCTACTAATTTGGTCTCAATCACACGTCACGCTGCTAATTATGGGGCGATCACGCGTCACGCAAAAACCCTTTGCCACCCTTAGAAAAAGCCTCGTAAAAGCGATTGCGCGACACTTGGTAAGTTATAAAACGACATTTGATCACGTATTTGACGAAACAACAGTGTTTATTCTCAGTCTGTGTTTTGTACCTAGTATGCATTTTGGATAAATCAGAGGTACCCAGCTGCTGTTGGCAGACCCCTTCCCTTTTCAAGCCTGTTTCACACATAGAGACGTGTAGAACTTTAGAAGTAAAGAATGACAACCGTGGAACGGCTGTGGAAGAGGTCGTGAAAATCCCCAGTTTGTCACGGTATTCTACACTTC